CCCCCCCCCCCACACACACACACACACCCGGGTCATTTTAGAAACCGTCTAGAAAGTACGACCCCTTTCTCAGATTCGCTTAGATTCATTCGATCACTCGGCAAATTACGAGGGCTCGGCCCCTGCAAGACTCGAGGTAGGCCGCCCCGCAGGACACGCGTGCTCTCCAGGCAGGATGCTGCCTACCTATCAGGCGCTATGAGACCTAGCGTTGGCGTTAGCCGAACACGGCCGGTCACGGGCGCACTGTCTGTCTGGACGAGGACGATGATTTTTGTTGGACGGAGTTAAATAACAATCTTCTGATTTTTACGTTTTGTCTGCTAATTGTTGAATGGCGAGTACAGTCGAGAGGCAATTTACTCAATAAAATAAAATCAGGAGAAAAAATCAGAAAAAGGAAAAAAACGAAAACAATCTAGAAAAACGGAAAAATCTATGTACGCTTGAATCTTCATGGTGGTAACCCTTGAGTACCGGGTGATTCCTGCGTCTTCTCTGAATCACCCGGTACAACGTCTTGGTGTGTCTGCAGGCTGCGGCGGCCGGCTGACGGCCCCGTACGGCGCGCTGCACTCGCGCAACTACCCGCAGAACTACGGCCCGGAGGACGACTGCGTCTGGAGCATCGAGGTGGCCGAGGGCCACGCCGTGGAGCTGGAGCTGCAGGACCTGGACATCTACGCCAGCCTCGCCGAGCGGCGCAGCGGCAACTGCTCGGGCAGCTTCCTGCAGGTGATCGACGGCGCCGACCTGGAGGGCCGCGAGCTGCTGCGGACGTGCGGCGGCGGGCTCCCGGACAACAGGACGCTCACGTCCACGGCCAACAAGATGACGGTGCGGATGAAGTCGGACGGCGCGCGCTCGTCCAAGGGCTTCCGGGCGACGTACGCCACCGTGTGCGGCTCGACCATCGTGACGGCCTCAAGCGGCGTCATCACCTCGCACGACGCCATCAACGTCCAGGGCAAGAACGCGAACTGCTCCTGGACCGTGATCGCCGAGGACCCGGCCGACCACGTGACGCTCACCATCGGCACGCTGACCGTCAGCCACCTGGACTTCAGCGAAGTAAGCAATGGCGGATCCCCGGAAAACTTCAACTTTTTTCACATAGACAGAACAAAGTTTATTTTTTCTAACTCCAAGTTTGTTAAATAGAGCTGAAAAAACAAATGGCTGTAGAAAAATGAAATTCCAGAAGAAAAAATTATAATTATCCTGTGTCTAATTACCAAGAATAACAACTCGTTGGTTCGCGAACAATTTTGATTCAGTCCGTCTCATCCGCAGGGCGAGGAGGACTGCTCCTCGAACAACAACGTGGAGGTGTGGGAGGGCGTGGACTCGACGGGCGTCCTCCTGGGCCGCTACTGCACGGGCCGCGTCCCGCCGGCGCTCACGAGCCGCGGCTCGGCGCTGCACATCGTCATGGTGTCGCCCTTCAACAGCTTCCACGGCTGGTTCTCAGCCTCGTACTCCGTCCTCAGCTCCGGTAAGCGTTTCGGTGCGACTCGGGAGAGCGAGGGGTGGGCGACTTGAATTCTTCGTGTACACAGGAGTACGGAGTACACGGAGTACAGTCGGAGCACACTAAGTATTGCCGGTCGGAGCGCGCAGAGTACACCTGGAATACACCCGGAGTACACAGGAGTACAGCCGGAGTACGCGGAGAACTTGCGACAAAAACAGCCGGAGTACACGGAGTACAGTCGGAGTACAATCGGAGAACACCTGGAGTACATTTTGGCCTGTACACAGGAGCCGCCCAGTCGTCCACCCCTCGCGGGAGAGTCACAGAGGCGTTTCTCTTAGTTCAAGCTCGCGCTTCCTGTAATTTGCAGCCTGTGGCGGTACGTTCTCCGCCGAGCGCGGCTCGTTCGCGAGTCCCGGGTACCCGGCCAGCTACCCTCCCGGGTCCGACTGCGTGTGGACCGTGACCTCGGCGCCAGGTCGGTACCTCCTGCCGCGTGGGGGAAGGACGACGGCGACCCCAAAGTACAGCCCCGCGTCACCTTTCTGTCGCGCAGGTAACCTGGTGCAGATGAGCTTCTCCCTCTTCAACCTGGAGTCGTCGTGGGGCTGCTTCGACGACTTCGTGGAGGTGCGCAAGGAGAGCGCCATGGGCCCTCTCGTCGGCGTGTACTGCGGGGACGAGCGGCCGTCCAACCTCACCGCCGCCCACACGCTGTGGGTCAAGTTCAGGAGCAACGCGCAGGGCACTGCCCCCGGCTTCCTGGCAGATTTCGCCCTGGGTACGTCCACGAGGAAATGGAAACGTGCGGGCTACTTTCCTATGGGCCATGTTTGCAACTTTTGTCACGATGCTCTCCACAGTGCACGGGAACCTGGACATCACCGGCCGCAGCGGCGAGATCGCGTCCCCTCTCTACCCCTCGCTGTACGCCCAGAGCGGCGACTTCGAGTGGCGCGTCACCGTCGACACGAAGAAGGCCGTCATCCTCGACGTGAAGAGCCTCAGCACGGACCGCTTTGGCGTCGACGACTGCGACGACGTCTATCTGGCGGTACGTCCCCGAGTACCCTGAGCCGCGCACGAGGAGCGTCACAGCTGTAACTGTCGACCCTAACAAGCTGATGATTACTGCGTATCATCTGCTAAAAATGAAGCAAAAATGGAAAAAAAATCGGTGTATTTGTATTTATAGCTAAGCAGCGCACCGCCGCCGAGCTGTGCGCGCGCTGACAGCCGCTGACAGCGCCGCCCTCTGTTCGCAGATCCACGACGGCTTCGACGCCACGACGCCGCAGCTGTACAAGGACTGCGGCGCGGCGCTGCCCAGGGCCGTCACCACCACGTCCAACGTGGCCTTCGTCCGGCTGCACAACTACCCCATCCGCCGCGCCACCACCTTCCTGCTGGCCTGGCGCGAGGTGGACCGACCCGACGGGAGCGCGACGACGGTCGAGGCCGGCGCCAACAACTGCAGCTCCACGATCCACCTGCCGGCGGGCGGCAGCGTCAACGTGTCGAGCCCGGGCTACCCGGGCGGCTACGGCAGCAACGAGAACTGCACCTGGGTCCTCGACACGGACCCGGGCTGGCACCTGGCCGTGCTCTTCAGGGACATGGACCTCGAGGACACGGCCGAGTGCTACAGCGACCGGGTCGAGGTGGCGAGCGGCGAGCGCGGCGGCCTCGAGTGGAAGACGCGCTTCAAGCTGTGCCAGCCCAGCGCCATGTTCAACGACTCGTTCTTCACCACCAACTTCATGCGCCTCAACTTCGTCTCGGACTGGGGCACGAACGGCACGGGCTTCGCCGGCACGGTGTACTCGGGTAAGCAGAGCTTCTCCCCAAACAAGTAACGGCACTTCACAAAAGAAAAAAAAATAATCCGTGTACACCCG